AAAGGTGGAAGCCATTGGTGCAAGTTAGTATGACTGGTAGGTGGACCGTGAGTTGTAAAACTGTATAAAACTATATTTACCAGGCTACCGCCTGCAGCCGCCGACCCCCAAGGGATAGAACCTTAGCGCTAGCTCTTGCTCTATGTTAGCCTTAGCCTTGAGCCTTAGCCTTAGCCATGCCTCGCCTTAGCCATAGCCTTAGCCTTAGACTTAGACTCAGACCTTACTTTTTTACCTTTCCGCACCCGGGGTTTGTTGTAAAAGGGAGTTGTAGGATTTCCCAGGTATGCGTAGAAAATTGCGAACCTATTTTCTTCCATTGTTGTAGAATTTTCTAGGACTTCCTCTTGTGTTTAGGTTCCCAGATTTCCCCAAAAATTGATTAATGTATTGTTAACCTATTTGATTCTAGTGTTCCCGGCAAATGCCCTGGAATTTTCCTAGGAATGCACTAGGCTTTGTTTAGATTTTGTGCTGGACGAGGTCTGGCCAGTGCCCGTGGTAACGTGAAAGGCTCTGGGTACTGTTGCGAGTACTGCTGCTGGTACTGCTGGTCGTACTGCTGCTGGTACTGCTGCGGCTGCTGTTGTTGTTGCTGGCCGCCACCGTTCAAGTAGGCAAGCCTCACGCATGAGACGTGAGTGCATTGATTCAATGTCGCAAGAAGGTTCCACGATAGAGGACTGTCTCTGTTTTTTCAAAAGTCGACTTTTTGGGTACCTCCCAGGTTTACCATCGGACGTCATCTCTTGCATGAACCCCGTGATGCTGAACCCTCGTCCCCATAAAGGATATTATTGCCCAAGAATTTAGACCCAACCCAGAACCACCAAACCAGGTACACAAAAAGTCGACTTTTTGGGTACCTCCCGATTTACCATCGGACGTCAGCTCTTGCGTGAACCCCGTGACGCGTTGGGTTCTGCGGCCTGTGGGGCCGCAGGGCGCTGCCCATGGTCTAGGGTACATTCAAAGTGCCACAAGTATCGGCGCCCGGACTTGTGCTGAATCGATCGGTTTCTCCCGGCGACCCAACCCATTACCACCAAGGCAGGTACCCAAAAAGTCGACTCCGCGCCCGGCCTTGTGCTGAATCGATCGGTTTCTCCCGGTGACCCAACCCATCACCACCAAAGCAGGTACCCAAAAAGTCGACTTTTTGATTACCTCCCAGATTTACCATCGGACGTCATCGCTTGCATGAACCCCGTGATGCTGAACCCTTCTCCCCATAAAGGATATCATTGCCCAAGAGTTGAGACCCATCACCACCACAGCAGGTACCCAAAAAGTCGACTTTTTGGGTACCTCCCAGATTTACCATACGTGATCTCTTGCATGAACCCCGTGGTGATGATGATGCGTTCCTCACCGACGAGTCCGCGTCTATATCCTGCTGTCCAGGCACACTCTATCGCCGAGGACCCCTCGCAGGCCAAACTGCAAAGGTGGGTTTCACGACAGAGGACTGTCTCTGTTTTTTCACGATAATCCTGTCGTTGTCTAAGGGGCCCCGTGTGTGGCCGGGAACACTGGCATAATAGCCAAAGGTTAACAATTTTTGGTGCAAATCTGGAAACCTAAGTCAAGAGGACATGCAAGAAAATTTTTGGAAAAGCACCCTCCCGAATAAACAAAGCCTAGAGTATTCCTAGGAAAAATCACGGGCATTGGCCGGGAACTAGCAGAAGGTTACCAATTTTTGGGGGAAATCTGGGAACCTAAAAACAAGAGGAAGCGCTAGAAAATTCTTGGAAAAGCATCCAGCCGAAAACATAACAAAATCTTAGACAAAGCCTGGACATTCCTAGGAAAATGCTAGAAAAGCCTTTGAAAGTTCCATAGGTTAGCAAAAGGTTACCAATTTTGTGCAGAAATCTGGGAACCTAAAAACAAGAGGAAGCGCTAGAAAATTGGGGAAAAGCATCCAGCCGAAAACATAACAAAATCTAGACAAAGCCTAGAGCATTCCTAGGAAAATGCCAGAAAAGCCTTTGAAAATCTCATAAACCAACAGAAAACGTGACAAAATCTACGAAAAAGCAAGGGCATTGGCCGGGACCATGCCGCGACCAGCCCGGGATTCGAGCCCAGGACCATTTTGGACCGTGCTTATTTTCCCGCGCGGGTCGAGAGGGTGCCCCAAGATGTAAATCAATTGGGATGGCAGAATCTACGTCGCTTTCCCGGAGAATTCCAACCAGATTTCGTCACTGCAACAAGGGGTCCGGAGGGGTAGGGGAGGCAAGGTCTAGGTCTAAGGCTAAGGACTAGGTCTAAGGCTAAGGATAAGGCTAAGGCTTAAGTCTAAGGCTAAGGCTAAGGCTTAAGGCTAAGGCTAACATCGACAGTCACGCCTCACCCCACGGTGTGGGGTCGGCGGATAATATAAACTAATTATATATAATTATATAATAAACCATCAACTGGTTTAAACATGCACCATCATGTAATCATCAATCTTGTCATGCTGCTTCCGTCCCCAGGTGAAGCCCGATGCATCGAAAGTGCAGCGCTCCCGCACCACGGGCAGGGCCTCCCAGGGATGGCAGACGTGGCCACCACTGAGGAAACAAGAAAAAGTAGTGTACCCGCAGATTCTTGGATTGAGGAACTAGCTATGGGCCTATGGGTGCACGGTCTATGTGACTATCCTTGTGGAATTCCGATGTCTCCATGGCCATGTCCTTCCAGATCGCAAGCCCGCAAGCCGAAATGAATGTTTGCTGAGCATAAGGACTGGATTGGCCCAGCAACCTATTTGCTCAGATCAACAAACAACTGCCCGAACAAAGCCAAAAGCAGGCAATCGGTCGAGCATCAACAGTCAAAAAAGGGTTTCCCAGCATGCTGCCTTGATCAAAAGTGGGAGCACTGACAGGCCGCTCTTTCACAAGCAAAGGTCCACGGTTCCCCAGCTGCACTTCTCAGGTCATTGCGTTTGAGTGTCGGCCACGACTAGATTCATTGCCCAGCCACTGAATGGCTTTGTGCATTTGTGGGTGAGGTTCCTTTGACTTTGGCTAAAGGGCTCCCTTTTGGTCATGGAGACAGCAGTTACAACACCTCCTAAATCTCCCAAAGGAATAGATTTTGATGGAAAGAGCATCACTCCAGGGTCATTATGCTTGGAAGAGGGGTTAAAAGTTAAAGACGTGGGTTCGATAAAAACAAGCCTTTCAGGAGCCAGGCTGTCACACTGCCATGCCTAGGTTTGCTCCATATCGACATGCCATTGGTGGAGCCACACCAAGTTCGGGCACTCAATGTTTGACTCAGCGTCCTTGTTCCTAGTAGCGATGCCCGGGTTCCTAGTAGCTTCTTGCTCCTAGTAGTATGGCCAGGAGCCCCTAGTAGCTTCTTGTTACTAGCAAGAATGCTTCTAGGCCAACAGTAAAACTTTCATAGATAGTAGCTTCTGTGGGGTTGAACCTGCATTGCCGTTTGGTGCTGTGAAAGCTCTGTCCAAGTGGTCATCCCAAACTATGGGAAGATATAAATATAAAGTTTCCCTCAAGCCTCAACCCCCACACTGAACCTTTGAACTTAGTGTTCGAAGCGGAGCCGCTGGGTAGAACCACGTAGAACCGTGCTGAAATGCCAACGATTGGGATGGGACATGCTTGCAAGTGAAGCCACTGGAATGAAGCACTTCTCGACTGGGATAAGCCACCCAAGCATCCCATGAAACTCCGGATTTGATGAAACTTATCCAACCATTGCCACACAGAGCAAAGAACAAAGCACCACCAAGTCACCAAGTCCCCGTCATTTCTACTCCCCCTATACAGAATAACTGAGAGATTCTACCGAGAAAAAAAGAAGCGCGGCCAAACGCCTGACTAAACTAATCAACAATGAATCCTCCACGAGGCTCCAGAAGAGCCGCTGGAACACCAAGCGAAGAGCGACCCAACACTCTCCCAATCACCGCGGAAGGTGAAGGAGCGCAAGGCCCCCGAGCCGGAGCTCCAGCCGTTGAAGCCTTCAATGGAGCGGCCGATGGGATCGGTGTCGGTCACAACTGGTCGATGTTTCCTGGACTGGTTGACCATGGGAGCTTGCAAGCTTGCTCTACAGATCTCTATATACAGAGTTGTTGAAGAAACAGCCGTTTTTTAAATTTGAGAAAACAAACGGGCACATACAGGGCACTGTTCACTGTTCACCAAGCGCAAGTGCATGGAGACGGCCTCTCCAGGATCCACCTGGAAGGCTTGGCTACAGCTGGCTACCCAGCCGACAGAGCGCAAGGGGACTAACGAACAAGCGATACATGTGGTGGGTCATGCTTCCACCACATGGCGCCGAATACATGGAGGGCAGCCTTGTACAATCTTGCACATATTGATATAGGGAAATACACACATTTTTGGAGTTCTATACATGTTCAATGTTGAGCCTGGTTCATGCTGAACAGAAAAGAAAGTGGGCGCTGATTGATATCAAGTGACCTTCACAGCATCCTGAGTTTGTTCAAAGACTCTGGTGGCTGCTGTAATCCTTCATTCCTTCATTCTAATAGCCGCACACGAAGGCAACAGATAAGGGACAAACAAGCAGATCGAGGGATGCTACGTTGCATTACATTGCATTAGCCGCTTCTAAGACCTGTGCCTAATTCCCTACCAGAACTGATCAGGCAGCTCACCACACGAACTCCTTTCACTGCGGATCCTGCATGGTTGACATGACTGAAGACACTATGTTTCAGGGATGCTGTTTGTTGAGAGGCCCCGAGCACTTCTGGACCGCGCTGGACTGAGGCACAGGTGATGGCGGCCCATCCAAGACGGTGTCTATACAAGGCAAGCAGTCGGTTCAAAGAGCACAACATAGTACAACAAGTAGGCCAGTAGGAAAGCCTCGCTTGTGGAGGAGTTGTACTGGGCCGCATGCTGTTGAACATATTTCAACATATTTCAACATGTTGGAGAAGCAGCGCTTTCTTGGACCAAATGCGTGCTGGTGTGTTGAACGAAGCTGACACCCCATCCCGCAGCCGCCAATATTCTGTCAAGGCAATCAGTCACCTGGCGGTTACACATTGCGGCTGTGCGTAGTGTGCCAGCTAGTAACTTGCAATGGGAGAGGCAGTGATTTGTGCCTCCTGCCCTGAAACCTATCATGATCGTGTCGCTGAACTTTGTCTTCAGCATCAGGTCCAGAAGGCCTTTGGAAAGGCGGGAGACATGGTCAATGCCTTAAGCGGAAAAGAATGGATTCCCAAGTGGGAAGCCAAAGTGGTGATGGCCACTGTGACCAAGGCGCAAACCTTGAACACCAACAAGGCATTGATCCTTTGCATCGCAGGCGGCAAGAATTGCGATGCCGAGATGGGGCGGCAGCCGGCACTGGTCCGGGCCATCAAGACAGAGATGGGCAAAGAAGACTTTCGAGTTCGAGTGGAGTGGATCGAGATCGATGAGTCTCTGGGCTTGAGATGGCATTGCTTGGACGTGTAGCTCATTAGATTCATTAGATTATCATTATCATTATCATTCCAACTAGAAACACGCATTGAAGTGCCAGAAAGGCCATTGGAAGACGTGTTTGTTTGCATATAAGCAAACTTCAGTGTATTTTAGGTGATTGTTTGGTGGGGGTAGGTGGCTTGGTCAAGAGCCCACTTAATGGAGCTGACGTTATTTGAGGTTTATCCTTGATCCGATCCCCAGCTGCCCTATTCTTCCAACTGGGAGCAGTTTCCCATTTTCACTCACAGCAGCATGAGGTTCCTCGAAAGATATCCGAGCGATGCTTTGAAGGCTTCCAAGTCGAAAAGCAAAGATGGCAAAGGTGGGGAAATGACGAATAAATTGGACACACTCCAGAGGAAGTTTCTGCAGACTGGGTGTTTGGTTTCATTTATGATTCCTTGCTTTCCTGACCGAAAGCAGCCGCAGGTGGCAAGGCTGGTGATGGCAAAGGTGGGAACTCCAATGGTGCTGCCAATGCCAAGGATGCTAAGAACAGTCAAGCCAACAGCAAGGCCTCAGATACCCAGCCAGGAAGCGCTAAGAAGTGGACCGATGAGGGGAGCAAGGAGAGCAAGATGTGCAAATACTTCCTCCAGGGAAGCTGCAAGAACGGCTCAGACTGCAAGTTCCTTCCACTGTGCGGACTCCTGCGGATGGTAAAGATTGCAAAGGTGGCAGCTCTGTCAAACAGGACAAGGCCAAGCCAAGCAAGGAAGGTTCAGACAAGTCTGGAAAGCCCTCAGATGAATCAAAGAAATCCAAGGGTGATGACAAACAGCCTTCCAATGCCAAGCGAGGCAAGGAGAATCCAAACAACTCTTCGAACGCAGCTCCGGCAAACGGAAAGGCTTCAGATGTGTCAAAAAACTCCAAGAACGAGCCTGGATCTCAAATATGCAAGTATTGGGCTCAGGGTGAATGTAAGAATGGCTTTGCCTGCATGTATCTTCATTCCAAAGAAAAGATAGAAAAGGCTTCTGCAAAAGCAAAAGCCAGCTCTAGCAAGGCACAGACAGAACCACCTGTTCCCAAGTCAAAGGCAGGAACCAAAAGGGACAAGAAGAAAGTGCAGTGCCTGGGATGTGGGCTCAAGTTCAAGGATTGGGAAGCTATGTGTTCCAAGCACTTCTTGTGTCAGGGCCGCGAGCCCCTATGCCTTTGTGTGGAGTGCAATAAGACCTTCGCTGACGATATTGATTGTGCACAGCACCAATCTGCCAAAGGCCATCAAGGCATGGCACGGGTGAATGACGAAGAAGAGCCAACATTTGTTTGTGGACAATGCAACAAGGAGTTTGACAGTGAACGTGCAAAAGAACAGCACCAAGACAGTACCCTCCATGGCGATTTTCCGGCCTGTTCAACTTGCCGTCGGGCATTTCCAAATGTGCAGGCCCTGTCCCAGCATCAACAGGCCAAAGGACACTGTGGACTGTATTGGGTTGTTGAAGGGGAGTCGGATTCCGAAGATATGTTTGTTGATCATACTAATTTTATTCCTTTTACCCAGGAACAGTTGAACTTGTTGTTTCTGCAAGGCCGGGGATTTGATCTGCCAATGTAGACATTATTGTCCTTTTGAAACCTTCCCCAGCCGAGGCCTTGATAGTGCTTTTAGACACCTTATACCCCATACCTTAAAGAAAACTGCGCTGAGATTGCTCGTGCAGTCGAGTAGGTAGGGTAGGTAGGTTATGAGTGTAGTCAGCTCTTGAAAAGATGCTGACTGCAGGTCGAACCACGGCAGATTATTGGTAAAAAAAAGGAGGCCAAAGACTTGATGTTTATCCAAATGCGCGCCGAGCCGCAGTTGCAATATCCGTCCTGCTGGAGGAAAGAAGCAGGAAAACAGTTTTTTGATGCAATGTGCTATTTACCTTGTGTGTACTATTCAGGGTCCTTCCTGTCTGTGACGCAGGCATCTACAAGGATCCCAAGCGCGTGGCCCCAAAGAAGCAGGAATTCTGCTTTCACTGCACTTGTTGGGTTTGTGCATCACGACCGCAGGGAGATTCGAGGGACTGGTGTTTGACAGTCTTGCAGTGCTACGACTCACAGCTATGTGGGGCGAATATGGCTCTAATTTCCCAGCGACATGGCGTTCTACCATTCTCTCTTTGGGTCTTTGTGGTAAGAGGGACGACTCTCTCTCTCTCTCTCTCTCTCCACGGCAGCTTAGCCTGTTCATCCAGAGACCACAAAGAAGGTATTAACTATATATGTTGATATATGTTGTATGTATTGCAACTTCGCATAGGCATCACCAACAGGCAGTCATTGCTGTGCGAGAACCACATAGCAGCAAGGCTTCGTTGTTGGAACATCTACCGTTCATTTTGAATGGTCATATGACATATCACCTCGCAAGTTGATGGTGTTTCACGTCAATCAACTCAGTATAATTCAGTTTTCCGAATGGTTGCCTCATCCTTGGAGGACCACTAGCGAAATGAAGGTATGTGCATGACATGGGAAGCACCCAAACCAGTGCTGCACAGCTGGCGGATTTGTTTGAGCATCACTCCCAATTGCCCTCCGCCTCACAGTTGGTCATTCTTTCGCAGGACACGTTGCTCCGGGAGGTGAAGACAACACGAGCGACACCCAAAGCAACAGAGGCACAGCGGAGCAGGAGCAGGAAGTTATACAATTTGCAGGTAGTTATTTTACAATTTGAATGATGTTGAATGATTGAATGCCAAGCAACACTTTTTTCTCACCGGATTCTTGTAGGACTCTATCGGACAGAGGTCGAACATGGTCGGACAGTCATTGCTCGGATTGCTGCGATTGCTGTTCCAGACAACAAGTTTCAATTTGCCAAGGTCTCATCTATCCAGTGTTGGCGATATCCAGAATAGTCCAAGAACCCAAAAACTATACAGAATGGTCATTGCAGGTCATAAGTTTGGTGGCCAAGTCGCAGGTCATTGCAGGTCCGGAACTACCTGGACCTAGCTCCCAGCTCTCAGACCCGGTCCAAATGTTGATGAAACACTGCCTCATTCATTAGTCAAACCTGAACAGTCGCTTGCCATGCTTTGCTTCTGCTTTGCTTCTCCTTTGCTACTTGGTTAAATCAATCCTGGTGGAGTTGGAACCTCATTGTCGGTGCTTGCCAGGAAGAGGAGGAGGATGAGATCCCGCCACTGGAGTGTCGCAAATAGCGGTCGCCTCCAGGATGCACGAGAGGAAACTTCAAGGCGAAAAGGACTTTTTTCCATTCAGAAACCAAGTGGAAGCAATGAAGGACAATGGAGGCAGCGGAATGGGTGACTTCCATTTACCTCAATATGTACCCGACGAACAGATAGTTTTTGGAAGGTCGATGCTTTTTGCATGTTCAATTGCTCAGCATTGCTCAACCCTCCCAAACGAGGAAGAGCAGTGCTTTCAGGTTTCCAACAGTCGGACAGTTTTGTTTCACTGGCCTTCCTGATGCTGACTGAAGCTGTGATTGTTGGTCCAAACCTTAGAAAGCTCTGTGTAGAGTTCATGCCCTTTCATGATTGAAGAATAATCTCTAGTGCAAAAATTTGGTTAAACTCTGCCCACACTGGAATCAGCAAGTGTTGGGTACATCCAAAACATCACGGGCAAGCACTTGTGAGTTCCTATGTTTTTTGTTACTTGTTTCTATGGTTTTGCATGTCGAATACCGGGTTCTACTCAGCATCAGAATGGGCTTGCATGCCATAGGATGGAGGACAACCAAGCCAAGCATTTGACCGCATGCGCTGCTTTCCACCCCCTATGATTTGGTAGTACTAGTGTATAGTGTTCCTCAGGATTGTCCGTTGATGTACACCCAATGTAAAAATGCAACAAATGCTGTTCTTAATCTTTCTTAGGGATCCCGTGATTGCTTCGCTTGGCTGCCTCCATTGTTATATATATATATACCAGTGCATGCACAGGTGCTTCGCCCAAAAAGCCGGATGAATGCTGCCCGAATTGAAACCAAGGGGCGACATGCTCTCAGCTGGCCAGATAACCACAGCCACATATGCTGCCGCACAGAAGTCCCTGGTTAGCATGCGTATTTGATTTGGACAAGCATGAATGCCACAAGTGAAAGCAGGAGCTTTGTTGCAGAACCGTTCCCAAGCTAGAAGTCGAAGCCTTTATCGTGGGTGCCATTGGTGGCGGCTTCAAAGATACTATGACGAGGTTTGTATGCGGTTGCCACAATAATTTGGAGTCAATCAACGAGTAGCTGAGTAGAGCTTTGTTGCGGTTGTTGATAAACAACAAATTCTGCACTGTGTGGCATACACATACAATCCTGTGGAAACTGGCCATGTCAGGTATGGTGGTGCAGCATGTTCTCCAAAAGCACATCAAGCTTTTCGGGACTGCTTGATTCACTTCTTTCAGTTCCCCAAGACCAAGTTCCAAACCTGCTTGCCATCAATTGACCTTGAATTAATCTGTTAGTATCAATTCAGCAGGTTATCAGGTGAAGATCAAAAAAGTCTTACGTCGTGGCTTGAGGATCCAAGGTTTGCCTTTGTTCACAAGACCCGGTTGGGTCTCCTCAATATGAAATGCCTACAGTGCCTGTTATGGTCTTACGTTCTCTTTACCCAGGGGCCTTCGGAATTGAAAACCTTCGCGCGGTTGAACATCTTCACAGCGGCGCCTCTTCCGGACGAGCCATTTGCACGGCCTGTGGACGGTGCTGTTTGGGCAAGGCCGTCCACAACGGCCGGCCACATGGCCAGGGTGCTCAGCCAAAATGCTGCAATCCACGTGTTGCAAAACCAAGGGCCTTTTGGATGTTATTCTCTTGGAATTTGAGTTATTGTGATTACATGTAAACCTTTGACAATTGCTTTTGTATGTTGCCAGTTGCTCACAGGAGTGAACAGAGAGCATTCACCAAACAGAGACAGTAATGTTGAGAACGTTGTTGCTCCATGAAACTCATGTGATTTCCCAGCCCTCAAATGGTGTGTGTTTGGCCCTTCGCTCAGTTGTGAAGTCGCGTGTTTTAAGGATCAGAAGCAGCTGACGCCTGAGGAGGCCCTGAAAACAACTGCAGCACCTTTGACAAACTTCCTCCCTGTTTTTTTTTCCGGTGCTTTGCAAAGGAAAGAGGGAACGCCGTGAACATAACTTTATTATCTCTGTGTGTGTGGATTGCGGATTTGTCACCATATCCATATCCTGATCGTATGAGGTCTGCCTTTCTTTCCCTTCGCCCGCTGGGGAGGTGCGCCGGAAGTGGGATGAGCTCCTGTTGGTCATCAACAATGTGGCCACCACCGCAGGCTGGAGAGCTACCGATTCTGCTGAATGAATGAGCTGAGTGGGTCGGAAGAAAGATGTCTTTGAACATTTGCGTGCCAACCACCTGGTAGGGCTGAATCATGGGTTGTTTTGCTGCCTTGAGACCAATCCGTCCCTGTGTTTGCTCGCAAAACAGAGTCCCAATGATTGAGCAGATGGTGCCAGACAGGATGTTATGATGCCTTGATGTTGGAAATCAATGGAAACCAAGAAATTTGCTGGACTTGGATTTTTTGCCGTTGTAGATTGCAACCTGTAGCTGTAGCATCAAGCCGTGCTTAGTCGCATCAGGGATGCTATTTCAAAGTCGGGTGGTCACATCGTCACACACGGAAAACATGCTGCCAGGTGGCGAGTCTCTAGAGCCTTCCCCTAGCAGCAGCACAGGCACGTGAGAAGAAGGAGAAGCTACCAAATTGATCCAAATTGATCAACTCTAGATGCATTTGTGTTCAGTGTTTTGTGTGGCCCTTCACCCCGCACAAAGCATACCAAATTCACCAGATCAGAGTCCCCGAAGCAAAACAGTTCCAGGCAATAGTTAACCAGAGACCCAAGAATCTGTACCATCTCCGCAGGCCGGAGGCGCGGCCGTGGTCAGCTGAAAGCAGCACAAGAGCTTATGTCCAAGAGCCAGTGATGAGCTCAGAAAGCTGAAGGGATCAGCTTTCGGGTTGGCAAGTAAACAAAGTGAAGAGCTATACTATATATACTATATATATATATTACTATACATACGAAGCTCCTTCAGCTAAAAAGAAAGAGGCTCCACAACTGCTGGTTGACATATGTCCTTTTTCACTGGGTGTCATCAGGGTCTCCCTATTCTAGACACCCAAATGTCATGTCAGTAGCTTTGACATGTTTGAGGCTTTGCTGAACTTCATGTTGCTTTCACTAAAAAGGTAGAACTCGTGCGAGAACACAGACTGTCCATGACTGTCCATTCAGGGTGGTCTATTTGAAGAAGGGGCCCAAAAGAGGGAATTATCCTGCAGTCGTCACCCGAGGTCAACGGGTGAGCTGTTGTTAGCGCCGAAGCGGAAGGGACGGCCTCCCTGGAATGATAGGCCAGGATGGTTCGAGCTCTCGGATCTATGTAGTTTAGTCAAGCTAGAATACCTATTAGCGATGGCCTCCACCCCAATGGCGATCCATTTTAGTCAAGCTTTTGTCAAACAGTAAGGAGCTAGTCCTGTTGAGGTCACTGCTTGTTGGATGCGCAAGTCTTCTTTGTGCAGAAGCGAATTTGGACCACCCCAAGCAAGACTGTCGTAAGTTCTGATGCCAGTTCTGATGCCATGGCATCCCTAAACCTTTGGTTTTCGTCATGGAACAAATGTTTGGACAGATTCTGTAGTTGTCCATCTCTGTTGTGTCACTGACACATTCCTTTCTTTGTCCATTCACAACAGGTTCTGCCCTGGTCGTTCCCTTCCACTGGGAAACCATCAACTGCTGCAG